TTTCAGTCACTGCCTGCCTTCTCCCCTTAGCTGCTTGAGTTTAACGTAGCCCATAGCAACAACATGCCTTCCTCCCTTTTGATGCCTCACTTGTACTTAGAGAGTTATACAGCAACTCAATACAAAGCAGTATCACTACCAGGGTAACGTAGCAACGACTTACTCTGAAGTTCAGGAAGAGGTCACCAGATACATATATCTGTAATTTGTGCTTGGGTATCCAAAATGACAACTTTCTCAATTGGGAAAAAATTAATTGGGAAGGCTGACTTAATTGACATGGGTAGGGGCTCAGTAAGATGATAATATTGGCACATAAGCTCTTTAATCCCTGCTGTTAAGTAGGTCAACCTGCATTTTGGGACCAGAGAACCTGATTTTTAAAGTTTATCTAATGGCCAGAATCTAATTTTTTGATTCTCGCCTGATTAATGTCACTCACCTCAATTCTTTTGTGACCTCTGGGACCAGAAAATCCTGCCCATCACCTTTCTCCTACCCCTTTCTCCTCCTCTTTGAAACTTACATTTTCTGCGACCCATCCAAATCCTGAAACAAATCTCTTGGAGACATCCTCAATCTTTGTGAAACATATCTCCTTTGATTTTAACCTCAGTCTTAACTCACCTGCCATCTTTCCTCTGGATTCATTGACATCTTGTTGTCCCTCTATTTAAACTTTTCTACCACTTCCTTGACTTTGTCATCTCCTGTGGTCTCTACATTTTACTGGTTTCAATCACAGCCAAACCCATTTCTAATTGCTTTCTTGTGTCTCACTTTAAGTCTATGTTATAAGTTGTTTAAATGTATGATATTAGAAAGGAATAATGTACTATGTTTCCTTACTTTTAAAATAGCATCAAGTCTGTAATAAATGATTTGGCAAACCTGCTTATATTTGCTGCAAGAACATGACTTACCTGTGTTAACCGAATGAAAATATTTTAATGTCACTCATATTTGATGTAAGCCTGGTGAAGTATTGGCTTTTCTGTTTCCTTGCCCTCCGAAAAAAAATGGTTCCTCAAACATATTCTCATGAAGATGTTGATTTCTTTCACTGCTGTTATTTTCAGGTTGTGATTTAAAAATTGTCTGTTCATCATTACATTACAGGAGATTTTTAAGATCCAATGTCCCAGCTATGTTTAGTCTGAAATCAGGTTTCTTTTGTCAGAACCATTATTTTCTTGTTGCTTTAGTGCTGTTATTGTATTTCAACCATAAATTGGACAAATAATCACTTTAGTACCAAAAAGCAGCACATATCAGAACTGAAATTTAGCCTGAGGAAGAGAATTAGAAAGGCTATAGTTCAAGGGACAAAGAAAAGTCAAAATGTAATTTCAATGTGACGTTTGCCATTAAGAACTGAATTATTTATGCTAAGAATAAAAGTGACATTGAGTTATGGTGATCATCAGCTTAAGGTCAGATGGTTTCTGTCTTAGTTATAACATGGAACGTGTTAGTTATATCAAAGTCATTTACTCAAAAGGTTCAATAGAATTCTGCTGGATTGCTGAGTCATTTCCTTTTGATTTTGGAAACAGATAAATACCACTCTTATTGATGATAGGTCCTGGTGCAGTTTACTTACACAGTTATTCTTTGCTCTTTAACTATTCTTCCTGCTTTATTTAATATATGTCCACACTGCAAATAATCAGGAGTTGAACTCAGCAGTGTAACGTTGGAAACTTTTTTCTTCATGTTGTTTTGGAAATTTGCTTTCAGTAAACGTTGGCACCTTGTTCTGCTGAAACATACCTGCTTTTAGACAGAAGACTAGGAATTATGGGCCCAGATTTTGGATTGCACGGAGTAGGAGAAAAAACGGCAATTAGGGCACGTCTGGAAATTTCACATTCCCATTTCCATCTCTAGCTATTTTCAGTGGTGTACTAAGGTGAGATCTAACGGTGTTATGATTACAAAAGTAATAACATAGTTGTCAGGATGTTAATTCTGACAGAAGGTGAGGTACCAGAAGACTGGAGGTTGGCTAATGTTGTGCCTCTATTTAAGAAAGATGGTAAGGAAAAGCCACCAAACTATAGACTGGTGAGCCTGACATCAGTGGTGGGCAAGTTGTTGGAGGGAATCCTGAGGGACAGGACTTACATGTATTTGGAAAGGCAAGGACTGATTAGGGATAGACAACATGGCTTTATGTGTGGAAAATCATGTCTCACTAACTTGATTGAGTTTTTTGAAGAAGTAACGAAGAGGATTGATGAGGTCAGAGTGGTGGACTTGATCTATATGGGTTTCAGTAAGGCATTCGACAGGGTTCCTCATGGTAGACTGGTTGTCAAGGTTAGATCACACGGAATACAGGGAGAACTAGCTATGTGGACACAGAACTGGCTCAAAGGTAGAAGATAGAGGTAGGTAGTGGAGGGTTGCTTTTCAGACTGGAGGCCTGTAACCAGCAGTGTGCCGCAAGGATCGGTGCTGGGTCCACTGCTTTTTGTCATTTATATAAATGATTTGCATGTGAACATAGGAAGTATGGTTAGTAAGTTTACAGATGACACTAAAATTGGAGGTGTAATGTCCAGCAAAGAAGGTTACCTCAGAGTACAACAGGATCTTGATCAGACGGGCTAATGGGCTGAGGAGTGGCAGATGGAGTTTAATTTCAATAAATGTGCGGTGCTGCATTTTGGAAAGGCAAATCAGGCAGGACTTATACACTTAATGGTAAGGTCCTGGGGAGTGTTGCTGAACAAAGAGACCTTAGGATGCACGTTCATAATTCCTTGAAAGTGGAGTCGCAGGTAGACAGGGTAATGAAGAAGGCTTTGGTATGCTTGCCTTTATTAGTCAGTGCATTGACTATAGGAGTTGGGAGGTCATGTTGTAGCTGAACAGGACATTGGTTAGGCCACTTTTGGAGGACTGCGTGCAATTCTGGTCTTCCTCCTGTTGTGAAACTTGAAAGGGTTCAAAAAAGATTTATGTTGCCAGGGTTGGAGGGTTTGAGCTATAGGGAGAGGCTGGATAGGCTGGGACTATTTTCCCTGGAGCATTGGAGGCTGAGGGGTGACTTTATAAAGGTTTATAAAATCATGAGGGGCATGGATAGGGTAAATAGGCAAGGTTTTTTCCCTGGGGTGGCAGAATCTAAAACTAGAGGGCATAGGCTTAAGCTGAGAAGGGAAAGCTATAAAAGGGGCCTAGGAGATAATATTTTCATGCAAGTTGTAGTGCATGTATGGAATGAACTGCCGGAGGAAGTGGTGGAGGCTGGTACGATTACAACATTTAAAAGGCATCTGGATGGGTATATGAATTGGAAGGGTTTCAAGGGATATGGCCAAATGCTGGCAAATGGGACTAGATTTAGATAGGATATCTGGTCAGCAAGGCTGAGTTGGACTGAAGGGTCTGTTCCGTGCTGTACATCTCTATGACTCTATGACTATGACTAGTGAAAAAAAACCATGAACCTTCATATGCATTAAAATAGATCATCCGCTCTATCAAGTTGTATGATATGGAAATTGTAGCCAAACATGAGATCAATAGCTTATTTTTGAAACCTTTCCCATGACTTTTATTCATATTTTGAAGAATGTCTCAGCCATTTGTTCAATTATTTCAAGGATTTGACAGATATTTGAGCTTTTGGCTGTCTTCAAATGTCTTTTAACATTGTGTGGTTTGTTCAAACAATATTCCAGGGTGGGGTGTGAGTTTGGTTATTTTGATAGGTTTATAATCTTCTAAGAGGATTATCATTTTCCAAGTCATTACTCAAATGATGTTTGTTCAACATATTTATGAACTTTTCAAAGACTTCCAAAAGTTATTATAAACATGTGAATTATCATTTTAAAGTGGTGAGTAGGTGGGACAGTAAAAGGGCTGAGCAGGATGACAAAGGTGAAATAGGTAGAGAGTGAGGACAGTGGGGATGAAGAAATCAAAGAAAATCTGAATGAGGTGGGGGAAGGGATGAGTGGTGTTAGAGGTGGTAAGGAAGACTTTACATTTATCTGCAGATTTTAGTTGATATCCCAATGAACGTTGACAGATCTTACAACCCAGCCATTTAGATATGGTGCATCTCCATTTCTGCCTCTAGTCTGCCTTCTTCATTTGAGGTTATTCCCATCTCTCGTCAATGATAATATAACCAGCTAGCATGAAAGGAAAGGTGTGGAAATTTGTTGGCTGCAAATTAGCTGATTTATTTCCTGTATTACAACAACAGCGACACTTCAAAAATACTTATTTGGCTGTGAAGTGCTCAGGGACATCCTGGGGTTGTGGAAGATGCTTTGTACCTGCACGTCTTTCTTCCTTGCAACAAACATAATTTAGGAATTGGAATTAGAAATCTGTTAAAGCTAAACATTGGATGCTGGAACTAAGTTTGCATTTCTGAAGAATAATAGAAATTAAACAAAATTAAAGGCATCAGGACAAACAACATTTTCACGTTTTCATTTTAATCTTTTTCAGCCAGTAACAAAACACATCCTCCTTGTCAATATTCAAACATAACATTCATCTTACTTTACACCTTTTGCTACAGTGACATCATAAAATCATTGCCAATCGATACATAGCAAACTAGATACCTGTTAAAATATACATTCATTCTTTTGAAAGCTACAGCAAGGTGACAGTATGCTGGCAATATAACATTTCTGCTTCATAATTAACATTGGATTACAGGATCAAGTTGAAGAAAAAAGCAAAATACTTGCAAAGTATGCAAAATTCATTTTTAAAAGTTAAATTCATACAACAAACGCAAAGCTGCACTACAGTTAATTCATTTGTGAGTACTGCCCCACCAAAGCAAAATGTGTCTAGGCTGCTTCTAAAACAAATTGAAAAATAAATTATTAATTGAACTGTATTGGATTCAATCCTGAAAGAAGTCTAATTTCAACATTCATTCACAAGCAGTTCTCAGCAGCTCACCAGTTTGCCTTGTCATTACTATTCTGATTCATTGGCAGTAATAATTAAAATGTTCATCTCAACTTAGAATCAGTGGTCAAGAAGTGCTCGAAATAAATGTAGAATCTTGAGCTACCTGGTTTTTGGGTTAAAGAAAGTCATATATGAGCAAGAGACTTTTGTGACAGGAAAATGAAAGCACAATGTTAAAACACCTCAGCATGTTTCATATCACAATTTTTGAATGTTAGTGCCTATTTTATGCCACGAAAGTTAAACATATAAAATACAGTTTGGGATTTACAGCCTGTTCACTTGCAATGGATAAATAAATCTATACTATTTTACTATATACTTAATTCAGTGAAAATTATTTATCCAATCTGTCCTACCATGCACAAAACTGTATACAGCATCCTTTTATTCTTCCTCCTTCAGCTGGTAACTGCAAAATCGAGAGACATCTCACAGTCACAGTTATATTAATACCAATGTTAAACTGTTAGATGCAGCTGAGATAGGGAAGTACAGCAATACGATACCACTGCTTTAAACGTTGCAATTTACTTCCGCCTTCAGCTGCTAACTGAAAGAGCCAGAATCACAGGATAAAGCTATTCCGTATTGAACTGATAGATCAGTCTAGACTCAGTAATTACATCAGTATAATATCAGTGCTTTAAGCACCACCTTATTGAACAAATAAAATCCGTAGAAACGTTTCATGCAGTAAGACTATATCATATATCAAAAATTATTTACCAGTGATTTATTTTAAACAACTTCACAACAAATGCCATTTAACATTGCAACGCTTTTTTGTTTTTCTGCCAGAATGTGTGCATGCATGTAACTGAGCTGATAATCAATTTTATCTCTCACATATGAATAACTTCTGTTAATGTCAGCAATGCTATAACAATATAAGTTTGCATTACTTTTAAGATTATTTAATATTTTTAACAATTTACACCACTGAAATACATAGGTATCACTGTTTCAACTAGATTTGATCATAATGTTTGTTTGTGTATAAAATAATACAGAAGGAAATTACTGAGTAGCAAACATCTAAACAAATTGCTATCTGAAACGTGTCTATAGATACATGACAAAGTTCAAGTCATTGGACAAGATATAAAATTGCCTTAATGATAGAGTGAAATAAAGGTGAACAATTAAAATTAAACTTATATTTTGGTAAAGAAACAAAATAAAACAGATTACAGTAACAGAGAGCATGCACACAGCACTAGCAATCAGCTGAAAGGCAGCCTGAGGAAAACAGCTAAAGATATCAAGAAAACAGGTCTCTTCACGAATTAGAGTAATCTCAAAATCTTGATCAAAGTAATCCAGAATGAACTGCAAACATATTTTCTATAATAGTCATATAAAATAATGTATTTTAATTTGGAACATCCCTAATGATAAGGATAGGACAGGATATTTTAGTGGTGGGCGGAGGGGGGAATCTCCATTGAGGCCAGAATGGCTAACAGGATCAGGAACAGAGGGTCAGTACTAGAATGAACAAATGTTGGCAGATGTTCAGATCCATGGTGGTTATGGTTTGTGCTGAAAACTGCGAGACCACTTAGGAATTGAGATTGTGTCAGATGGTTTGCAGTTATCAAGAACAGTACAGTGGTCAACTGAATAAAGTTTTCTTTGTGGGCATGACTTATATCACATAAATGCTCCACATATTGATAGCCAAAGAAACCATTTCCCTATTTTACTGTTGTATGTTTAATTCAAAACATTTTAAATAAAGGTCTAATTTTAAACAACACTAAAATACATCTGGTCTTTTGATGAAGATTTACCTCCTTCTGTTTTGATGCTGCTGGCTTCCTCCTGCTGAGTCTGCTTTTCACCTTGTTGCTTGCCATTGACTTCAGGGCTCCCAGTGATTGGAGTTCGCACCACACTGTAGTTAAGAGGAGTTGTGTACAAGGGACGCTGCTGTGTGTCATTTCGGCTACAATTACACAATTTCTTGAAAGCAGATCTGAATTTCTGGGACATTAGATTATAAATGACAGGATTGATAGCACTGTTGGCATACACACACAGTCTGCAGAATAAAAGGAACCATGCATTCTCATATTGCTTGTCTATGAAGGAATTGACCACTACTATTGTTCTGTATGGCATCCAGAGTAAAGCAAATAGAATGACCACCACAGCCAGCATCTTAGTGACCTGTAGAGAAGTAAAATCCATACATTGTATTAAGCTTTTTTAGGTGATCTTGAATTTAGTTTCTTTCAGATGCTAGATTATTGAAACACCTTTAGTGACATTAATTTACGTTTACAGTATAATAAACAGCTGCCAACATGATTTGGATGGATTTTAATTCCATTTTGTGAAATGATATTTTAAAGATTTTTTAAGATTTCAATAAAGCATTTTCCAATCTTCAATAATATTAACATTATTCATTTTTTTCTGCCGCCTATTTCAGAACAATACTGGCATCTACACAGCGATGCGGAAATTGCCAGATATGCCCTGTATAACAAAAAAAAAGGACAAATCCAACTAAACCAATTAACACGCCATCAGTCCACTCTCAATCATTAATAAAACAATGGAAGGGGTCATCAGCAGTGCTATTATATAACACTGGTTTAGTTCGTATTCAGTGTGATGTAATGTGTGCGATTTATATATATTTTTAACATCATTTAGTTTAGAGTTCAGATTTTGAATTAGTGATATACGGATTTTGGTCTGTGTGTATGAATGGGTTTAATGATTAATTTGTCAGGATGCCATGAGCCATATTATTTTGTAAGTATAAGAGATGTAGTTCCTGGAAGGCTAATAGGAATTTGTTTGCATTAGGAGAGTTTTATGAGTAAACAGAATAAATATTGAAGAGCATTAGACTGTTTTCATTTAGAAGGGTCAGGGATTGATTTTTGTTTCTCTTAATGGAAACACCCATAGCTTGGAAACCTTTTGGTTTCAGTTTGCAGATGTCCTTATTGAATTTGGATGTATGAAACAGTTACTTCAGAAAAAACAGAAATAGGTTACATCAGTGTAAGGGTTTAGTTTGAAAGTTCCAGACTAGAAGTGTTTGGTTAAAATCCTAAAGGAGTTATTTAAATCTGGGAAACTCTATGTTCAGTTGTATGAATACTCAAGGAAAAGGTTATCAGACCTTCAAGACCAGGAACTGAAAGCAATATGAAGTCAAACATATAGAATTTACTGTAAAAGTGGTAGTGGAAAAGCTAATTCAATTTTTTAATAAGATATGAATTACCTAAAGAAATACAATCCACCAAGATTTAACCTTTATGTCACAATTATACAAAGAGATTATTACTAGTTTGGGAATAAAATAATTTACACCTTCTGATTATCACACACAATCTCAAGGTGCATTGGAAAGATGGCATCAAATTTTGAAATGCATGGTGAAGCTTATTGTCAAGAATGTCCTTCTAATTGGAATAAAAGAATTCTTTGTTACTATTTGCCATTAGGACTGCTCCTAACAAGTTCACAGTACTTAATCCTTTTCGGACTTATATATGGATATGAGGTGAGAGGATGACTGAAATTAAAACCAAAGAAAAATTGATAAACCAAAACTCAAAGACAATGCCTCCAGCCTTTGTTTCAAATTTCAGAGAGAAACTGACTAAAATGTGTGAGCTGGTTAAAAAGAAATTGGAGAGTTCTCAATAAAAAATGAAAATTAGATCAAGTAAGAAGGCTAAAGTGTTAAAGACAATGCAGTAGTATCATTAACTAACTCTGGGGAATCATTAGAAACAAGGTTTACTGGTCCTTGTCAAATCAAAAAGGAATTCAGTGATGTGAGTTTTGTTGTCAGTGTTCCAGACAGGAGAAAGAATCAATGATTGTGTCATGTTAAAATGTTAAAGAGATACTATGAGATACAGGGATAGCCAGGAGAAAAGTATACTTACAGTTGTGAAAGATGAAAGGAGTGAAATAGAAATATTGGAACAAGTGAGAATGTATCAGAAATTGAAAATTCAAAACTTGACCCTCCTGCAATCAGATTAGGTAATCTGGAGTTGTTTAAGAGGTTAGATAGCATAATTTTTATCTTCCAGACAACTACTGAAGTGACTTATAAAGACAATTACAGCATCATGAATCAATTTATGGAAATAAGCCAGAAAAACAGTTTTGGTTGTTTGTGATGCTAATATGTTATTTGTTACCTGTAAAACAACACCCTTAAAGACTCAATCAGCAGAATTTAGCTCAAGTGAAAGGAGAGTTGTAATTCATTGTGAGAATGACATTATTGAAATGATTCATAGTAGCTGGGGATTTCCTATCATGATGGTGACAAAACCAGACAGGTCACAAAGTTTATAAATTGATTACTGCAAATTCAGTACAGTGTATCTCAAAACCTTTCAAATTGGCTAGTAACTAGTAGGCCAAAAAATCTGGCTAATGCTCTGGGCACACAGGTTTGAAGCCAACCAAGACGAATATTGAAAGTTGAATTAATGAATATCAGAAATTTAAAGCTAGCATAATCATACTAATGTAACCATTGTTGATTGTTGTAAAAACCCATCTAGGTTCACTAATATCCTTTAGGGAAAAAAATTGTTCATCCTTATTTGGTCTGGCCGACATATGACTCCAGATCCATAGCAATGTGGTAGAATTTTAACTGAGCCAGCAAATCATTCATTTCATGAACAATTAGAGATGGGCATTAAGTGCTGAGCTAGCCAGCAACACCCATATCCCACATACATTTTTTGCAATTTAAATAGCTTCCCTTTTTTCTGCATCTTTTTGTAAAATAAATCTTGATTTTATTGTTAAAATCAAATCTTCAGCATTGTGTGCTGATGTTTCAGCAAAAGACACACCTCATCAAATTTTTGAAAATGGTCTTTCAAGCCATATTTTAGTCTGGGATCAGACTTGTCCAATAAAATCATCAGCTGGGATCACAACAAAGCCCTTACTCCCCCTATTTCAGTCTCAGTAGCCTGCTTTGTGTCAATAATGGGAGCACTGACAAAGTTACTATAATATTTTATGTGCCTTTTCTGGTGCAAGTAAAGGACCCACAGTCTAATCCTGTCAAACCATCGATCACTAATACTTAATCAGATAAATTCTCATTTGAATAATACAGAGAATAATTGTACATACCACGATCCTAAAAACACAGTAACAAGATAAATGAAAATGTAAATCTGTTTTTGGTAGGTTTTGCTGAGGGACAAGTATTGTCCAGGAGTCTGGGAGAGCTCTGCTGCTCTCCTCTGAACAGTGCCATAGGATCTTTCCCTGACAGAGCCTCATTTTACTGTCTCCTCCAGAATTGCAATAAAATTAGGAAGTTAAGAGGATTAGCATAATGAAAGAAGTAAAAGAAGCATTAATGGGACTACCTCAAATCAGCAAATCCCCTGGACCTCACTGTCTACAGAAACTATAGTTCTAAAAGAGGTAACTGTAGAGATGGTGGCTGCATTGGTTGTTGCTTTTCCTAAATTCTAGAATAGTCCCCATGGATTGGAAAGTAGCAAATGTTCAAGAAAACGAATGAGAAATGGGACCTGTAAACCAGTTAGCCTGATATCAATAGTAGAGAAATGGTTGCATCTATTGTTAGGAATGTGATAAAAGGCCACTTAGACAATTATATTAACCATAGTCTTAAAATAATGGTATGAAAGGGAAGTTGCATCTGACAGTTCTGTTGGAGCTTTCTGAATTTGTAATTAGCCGGATAGATAATAGGAACACCATTAGATGTAGTATATTTGAATTTTTAAAAGCATTCAATAATGTACTACATATGAGGTTATTAACCAAAAATAGGGCTCATGGAACTGCATGTATTACATTAGCATTGATTGAGGATTGGTTAACAAACAGAAACCAGAGGGTAGGAATAAATAAGTTGTTTGTGGCTTGGCAGGGTGTAACAATGGGATATCACAACAATCAGTTCTTGGGCCTCAGCAATTTACAATATACGTCCATGAGATGAGTATTATGTATCCAAATTTGACAAGTTATGTGGGAAAGTAAACTATGAAGAGACTGCAAAATGATACAGATAGTATAAGTGAGTGATAGGTATGTGATTAATGGAATACAATGTAGAAAAATGTGAAGCTTGATAGGAAAAATAGCATAGCACAATATGTATCAAATTGTCAGGGAATGGGAAATGTTGATATTTAGACAGATCTAGGTATACATATATATTAATCACAGTAAATTAACATATAGCAAACAATTAGGAAGCCAAATGGCACATTAGTGTTTATTACAAAGGAATTGGAGTATAAGAATAAAGAACTGATACTGCATTTTTGTAGGGCCTTATTGCTAAGACCTGAGGAACTGTATGTAGTTTTAGAGATAGTAGGAACTGCCGATGCTGGAGAATCTGAGATAACAAGGTGTAGAGCTGGATGAACACAGCAGGCCAAGCAGAAGGGTCCAGACCCGAAACGTCAGCTTTCCTGCTCCTCTGATGCTGCTTGGCCTGCTGTGTTCATCCAGCTCTACACCTTGTTATCTCCGTATATAGTTTTAGTCTCTTTACCTCAGTACAGATACTTTTGCCTCAGAGGAAGTGCAATGAAAGTTTATTAGACTGATTTGTGGGATGAAATGGTTGTCCTATGTGGAAAGATTGAGTAGGCTAGGCCTATATTCTCTAGAGTTTCACGGAAAATTGCGTGATATGACCAAAATATATAAAATTATTCAGTTGCTTAACCAAGTAGTTGCTGAAAGGATGTTTCTCCTTGCTTAGGGGTCTAGAACGAGGAATCACAACTTCAGGATAAGGATAAGCCATTTTAGGGCTGGATTGAGGACAATCATTTTTTAGTTAATGTGTTGTAAATCTTTGGAATTCTCTACTCTAGAAATCTGTGGATGTTCAATCATATTCAAGCCAGATCAATGAACTTTTGAATGCAAAAGAAATTGAGAGAAATGGTGATTTTGCAGGAGATGTGGTTGTGGTGAAAGGTGAGGCTTTACTTGTTCAATGTTAAAGAATACTCAAATGACCAAATGTCCCATGGATTCAGATCCTAGAGTGGGGTTTAAAATATGATTTGTTAGAAAGGCAAAAGATCCACCAATATGTGTCAAACAGAAACTGATTATATTGTTGAGGTTCTTAACCAAACTGTACCTCACCTGACTTTTGACATCAATACATATGTAAGAAACATTTAATTTCACCAACCATGTTTTTACAGGCACTAAAATTCACCCATAAATTTTGAATTTGACATATAATGAATAAAGAAAAGTTTTTTTTTAGCTCTTGTTGATTTGGACAGCGGCTGTCAACAAAAGATATAAACTAATATGCAATGAATAGCTAAAATCCAAACACAGAAAGAAACATTTCATATTAACGAAAACAACCAAATGCATTAATATAGTGGCTGTAATATAATAAAATATCCCAAGGCAATTCTCAAGGGAGTTATCAAACAGAATTTGACACCAAGCTAGATATTTGGGCTAGATGATCAAAAGTTTGGTCAAAGAGGTAAATATTAAGGGGCATCTTAAAGGAGGACAGAAAGGAAGAGACAGATAATATACCAGGGTCTCAACAACTAAAGGTGCAGCCACCAATAGTGGAGTGATTAATATCAGTGATGCACAAGTCTACAATTTGAGGAGCAAAGGTAACTTGCAATGTTATAGGACTTGATCAGATCATACAGACAGTGTGCAGATTCTTCTGCTCCTGGAGGGGACAAGCTTAGAGAAGAGTAGGGCACGTAATGAAGTGAGCTGGTGGCACGTCCAAACCTCCATGTGAATTAAGTCTGGGATAGAGAGGCCAATGGTTCACCAACTAGTCTCCAATTAATGACCACCGTAGGGGCTGAAGCTGCCTCTGGCAGGACTAACCCAGCTGTAAGTGGGCTAATCACCATGCAGCATGCTCGCCAGCTCAAACTGATTTAGCAGCTTGTCAGAAAAACAGGAACTCTACTTTCTCCCCAGAGATGCTGCCAGACTTGCTGAAATTTCTGCTGTCATTGGCAGCTAATCACTTTGCGAGTAGGGAGATCTCTCAATGAAAGGCAATCAATGCCAGATTAAGGGGCTGGGCATAAACAGGACCGTCCACTGTGAGATACCGGCTTGCTCTTTCTTCCAACCTCTCGCACCCCTCTTCCCATGACCCCCCCAAACTCTTAAACTACTCCCAAAGTGCCCAACAAATCACATACGTTTCTCCTGAGTCCTCCACAGTCCTAGTTGTTTATCCTGGCAGCAGCCATAGTCTCCTCCCTGTTGCTGCTAAGTACAAGAGCTGCTAATTTCTGACTGGCCTCACCAATACTTAATTTGTGTGGTTCAGTGGTCCTTCCTAGAAGTCGCAACCCCGATGTCTCAACAGCTCTCCAGTCAGTTCCTGAGAACTGACCCCACCTACCCCACCTACCCCACCTACCCCACCTACCCCACCCACCCCACCCACCCCACCCCAACCCAACCCAACCCAACCCAACGCCTCAAAAGGATTCCGCCCAGTGATGGATTTCAAAAGATGAGAATTTTAAAATTGGTGTATTGCATAGCCAAGACTGAAATAGGTCAAGGAGTGAAGGGTGGACAGCTCATGGTATAAGTAACGACACAGGCAGCAGAGTTTACATTTATGGAGGGTAGATTGTGGGAAGCTGGCCAGGAGTGTGTTGGAATAGTCAAGTATAGACATACCAAAGGCATGAATGAGGATTTCAGCAACTGAAGAGCTGAGGCAGAGGTGGAGACAGCCAATATTGTGCATTTAGAAGTCAGCTAATTTAGTAATGGCAAAGATAAATGATCAGGAGTTCAACTCGGGACTAAATATGATACTAAGTTTGCTAACGGTCCACTTCAGTCTTAGATGGTTCCAATGGAAAGGGAAGGAGTCAGTAGCTTGGGAATAGTTTCTGGAACAGATCAAAGACAAGGGTCTTTGGGTCAAGGCATTTGAGTCCATTAGGGAAAGAAACGGGAATGGCAGAGGTAGCTGAACAGAAGATCTTCATATTTCTGACTAAAAAGGCCATGAGCACCTCACATTCATTGTTGGAAGTGAGGGAGGAGGAGGCATGCAAGGGTGGTTTAAAGAGTTTGATTGTAGTGAAAAAGGAAGAACATTTCTCATTTCATTCCTGCAGGATCTTTGAAACTGAAGCAGGTTTACTGTTGGAGACCAGGATCCGATTATACCTTATGTAGTCTAGCCAGATCTGTCAAAAGATTGTTAAACCAGTTCTCCTCAAAGATATTTAAATCCACACCCCTGGGACTTGAGTAGAGTAAATTGTCAAAACGGCTGGGGTGAGAGTGTATAATGGTTTTAATTAGACCAAATGTGGTGGAGACGGTGTGATGTAGCAGATCAGAAGCTGTACAAATGTTATAATGAACTGTGGGCTAAGTAATTGGAAATTATTAATTGTTATTTGGAACTAAGTTAATTACCAGAAACAAACACAGATAATGCTGGAGAAACTCAGCAGGTCTGGCAGGATCTGTGGAGAGAGAAACAGAGTTAATAGTTCAAATCCAGTATGACTTTTCTTCAGAACTGAAAGGAAATGATTTTATTTTGTATCTTTGACAAAAGCAGAGGTCCAGTGCAAAAGACAAAGAGATTGTTAATGGTGGAAAAAGAGAAAAAATGATGTAAAATAGAATGTAAATTACAGGGTGAACAGGAGAGAATGGGTCCTCTCTACCAAACAAAGGAAACAAGGCACAAACAAGACAAGGCTGTGGGGGCGGTTGGGACGCAGGTAGAGAATATAAGAAAATTGGAGAACAGACATCATGCAGTCAGTTCTGAAGTTATGGAATTTAATATTGTGACCTCGAAGCTGTAAGTTCAGTAAGTGAAAATTGAGGTGTTGTTCCTTGAGCTTTCATTGTGCTTTGTTAGAACATTGCAGCAAGCCCACAACAGAAATGTTAGCATGAAAACGAGATGTTTAATTGAAACGGCAAACAACAGGGAAGTCAGGGTCATTCCCCACGAACAGAGTAGAAAGTGCAGTGACCCAGTCTCACCAATGTCAAAGAGTCTCAGCAGCAAAGTTATTTACCAGAGTATTTTCCCAGGGGTTGATACGGAAGGAAGTGGGTTTAGGGAGGGGAAAGAGAATATGGTTGAAAAGCGATCAGAGCTGATCATATCTGTGATCAATACAAAAGGAAGAACAAGGCCACATCAGATGGCAAGATTGAGGATGTATTGATGAATGTGGGTGGGTGTATAAGTATTTAGAGAAAGATTTATGCTGGAAAAGAGAGCAGCTTGCTCAGAGGAAAAAGAACGAGAAGATTTCAGATGAAAATCGAAATCACTAAAGACAAAAATCATCTAGTGCAGAGGCTGAGGGTGATATACTTAGATGGCTATTAGGAAATGAGAATTGTGAGGGTTAGAGCAAAGGAAAATGGTCAAATTAGGTCAAAGGACTGAGGAGAGCTGTCCAAGGCGTGACCTGGAAATAAGGTGTAACCTAGAGACCACACCAGCTTAAGTGTGGTGTGAGTGCAAAGTTGGAGTGCAGGTGGAGAATATTCCTTAAGGAAAATGTTCCTTCCTGTCTTCAATTATTTGCTGAAGGAAGAAAATCCTCCCATAATTGTTCTATGACCTACTCTATTTAATTTTTCACATTGAGTTTCTGATTGTTCTCTTCACTTCAGATCCAATCTACATTCATCATTCTCCATTCTTCAACAGAATGATTACCACTGAACCCATGGTACTTCATTTAGCTTTTCCAGACAAAATAATCAACCCTGCAACTGTATTCTGCCCATTTCCCAAGAACACAGCATTACCTGTTTTCTGGACGAGATTCCCCCCTTGCTTGTCCGGCTGGAAAACTGTGAACCGTTACTTTCTGTCCCAGGCCGCTCCTTCCAATGCTCCATTCTTGTCTCAATTTGGTTTGGAATGGGGCTGAGGAAAAGGACCCGCCCAATCAGACCATAGAGTACTGTGGCCACAATCAGGGGAATCACATAGAAGATGGTGAAATCAATGAAGTAAATAGGTAAGTATAGATTCCTCGAGACTTTGTAGCCGCACTGAGCGTTCTGCCTGCTATTGATGTTGATATCCACCAAGAAAAACCACAGCATGCAATAGAAGGATGTAATTGCCCATAGAAATGCTAGGATTTTCTTAGCTCTGGAGACAGTGCATATGGACTGGGCTTTTATTGGATGGCAGATGGCGATGTATCTTTCCACAGTGAATGCAGTGATGGAACATGATGACACATTAATGCCCAAGTACTGGAGGTATGTAATACCCAGGCATCCTACATGCCCATAGATCCATTCCTCAATCAGACTGTCAGAAATATTGGGTAACCCTGCAGCCACTAGGACCATCAGATCAGCCACAGCAAGACTGACAAGGTAACAGTTGGTTGGGGTTCTCATGTGTCTGGCAGTCAGGACCACCAGGACCACCATAATATTCCCGATGATTCCAGTTCCACAAATGGCCAACACCAACAACACAGAGGCAGCCTTGTATTCTAAGGATTTGTAAATCAAGTCAGTCCCAGCAGAAGCAGGATTTGCTAGGGAGATATTGGAGGGGGTCAGAAATCTACTCATGTTTTTCATAGTGGAAAAAAGAAGTCTGTTTTTCTCCCAAGTTAAGAGGAGATAAAGGATTTAACTTGAATGATGATGTTTCAGTGGCCGCACACGGTATTGGTCTGCTGAAAAATAAGCAGTTGCCATTATTTATACTTGATATATCCAATTCACAATTCCATTATTAACAGACACACACTGTAAAAAATCGTTTGCTTATTTGGGACAAAGAATACTGTCTGGTGAATTAGCCTTTGAAAGACTGAAAGACAATAGCTTTTGTAAAGCATCCACTTACCTTCCTGAAAATATTTTGAAAATCAATTGCTTCATGAATGTCAAAAGATTGTTTTTATTTAAACAAAAACTGCACAATTATTAACTTTCAAAGATTTGTTAATTTATAATCCTTTTGGAATCTATTTGAGAACATAATTTTATTACAGTTTTCTTTTTATTGCAAAATGCTACTTCATTCATCAAGTGGTTAAACATGTGATAAAGCTATCTACTCCGTTACTATTTAATATGGATTTTCTTCAAATTTACAAACTCATTCTTCAATTCATCTGTTTTATGCCTTAATTTTATAATACAATCTTTCCATTGCAGGATCTTAAGTATTATTTTTTGATTTAAGCCTGTTACCTTATATGATTAAATATATTAGTAAACTATTACTATGAATGTCCAAAGTGAGTTATTGATTCAAAATAACTTTAGAATACAATCACACAGAAGTATCGTACATATATAATTAATCATTAATTGGATTATATTTAAAACAGAAACGAATTAACTCAGATCAGCTAAAGCTCTCCAACATATCGGATTATCAACTTCCTTACACGCTGTGGGAAAATGCTAATACATTTGGAAATATTAACCATACCCCTATTTGCAGCTGTCTTTCTTTTTAGTTTACAATCAATACTGGTAATATTTCAATTAAGCAGGTAAGGAATATAATTGGTATAACTAACATAGTTTTGATTTGCATATTGTGAAATATGTCTACTTCATGTATTTTGAAATATTCATTCCTCAGTCTTTGATTTAGTTTTACAATGAACATTTAAGTTTTTCATTTTAAAATTCTCATTAGCTTCCTCCTCTCAAACTTGTACTTCCTCTAAAAATAATAATTTTCAATATAATTGACATACCTTAAAATAAAATCCACTGCATGGGTAACATTTGTTTCCTGAAAAGGTTTGTATGTACGGTGTATCCTTGATTCTTGATGAGGCAGGATTTATGGAGAAAGACTGCAGAGCCCCCTGTAGAAGATTTGATACAATATTGTAGGCAACCAGATTGGGGGCAGGTTGATATAGTCCCCTTCAATCAGCCACTAGTCACATGTTTTTGATCTGAATTTATACTTGTAACCATAGTTACACTGCTTATATGCCTCCATGGTTACACTGCTTATATTCTTACATGTAATTCAACAATTTAGTCATCAAATGCCCATCAATTTCAAAACATGTTGCTATAGGACAATGTAGGTATTAAGGCTTTCTTTTCCTTTTTCGACTGTTCTACAGTGTGTTTCCAAAACATAATGTTTAGTTGCAAATTATTATATCTATACTTTAGCAGGTAGTTTTGCAAACTCTTTGATGGTATTTCAAAATTATACACGCTTTCAGTAACTAGAAAACCTGTTGAACTTGTTGAAGCTGCTGTTTGCCTTTTTTTTCTCCTGTTTTGCAGGTACATAGACCAATAAATTTCATCAACTACTATTTTATTTCACTAAACTTTCTGGTCACTTGATTCATTAATTAGTTTACAAAATAATTATAACTGGAATAACAGCAATATGAAAGGTACATATTAACATTTAATAGATCAATACTTTCTTCTAGACATTTTAGAGTTCTATTTTGAAAGGTTTTATTGGTGCATGAATTTCTGTAGCTCAATTTTTTCCCAGTTATTTAACTCATGTGAGTACTGTGTGTTATTTTCAGCTCTCAATGTGTGTCTGCTTTCTACAATATTGTAATGAATTGTGTCTTTCATGATGATAGCTACAGTTGAGAGAAATGTTAACCATGAGAATGGGTTCTCTGTCAATATAAATAATTCATTATAAGATTCAATTCTGATAACTTAAAGCTAATTAAGCCTCCTTGGAAAATGTCCTCACTCTCTAATGCATACAGTCCTAATTATGATTTCTTGGTGTGCTGCTATGCTATTGTACACCGAAGTAGATCCCAACACAAACCCTCAATGCATACAAACCCAATAAACATTGACCAGGTATGAAGAGGGTAGTCAAAGCAGAGGTATGCTCCCTGACCTAGATGCAACAGCAGTTCACAGGGTTAGGACCAGGATTGCTCAAGCTGACCACTTCTCTCCCAAGTTCTTCACTGTGCCTAACTGACGCTGAAGGGGGACCATGTAGTTTCTGTGAAAATTCTGAAAGTTGACCATGAACAGAGGACACTGTATGGCTAAATCTGGTTTACGTCTCTGTTAGTTCAATTGGACCTGGTTAGATTATGGTAATTTGTGCCCCCTTAAAGAGGACACTTTCAAACTGAATTTTTGCAAGGTGCACTTTTAACAGTTTAATTAATAAAAGCAGAACATTATGGAAACTGAAGTTCAACCAAACACTTTAACAGGTCTCAAAAAAAAAGTACGGAGAGATGAGCAACCTCTGAAAGTTAGTGATTGGATAATCTTTTCATAGTGTGGAAGTTAATAGATTTAATTGTCTGAAAACAGATGGTTATCCTTTTAAACTCTACTGAATTAGATCAATCTGCTGGTTTTAACCAGGATTTGTCTTCTGTCATTTTATTCTTTTCAAAAAATTATGTAATTATGTATTGAGTTAAATAACTTATGCTGAATCATTTCAAAATTGATCGTTTCTATTTTCTCTTTACTTTTTTATTCTTCAAATCTCACATTTTGAAATTGGACTTTTTATTTGCTACTACTTCAAGTTTATTGTTATTCACTCTTATTCTAAAAGTCCTTCATATACTTAGCCCACAACTGACAACAGACATTTGCTTCTGAAATCAGATCTATTTTTCTGTTAATATTTGTACAGCTGTTGACTTGTTTCTTACTGACCTTTTGCTGAGCAGAACACATTTCACTGGCACACATTCTCAAGAGCTTCCCACTGCATTAGCTATAAAGTCAGCAGCTAGCAGATAGCAAACAATAGCTGGATAAAAATAAAAGCAGTGAGTCTCCTCAGCCACAAATGCCTGTGGTCTAGTCCACAGTGAACTGGGATTATAGAGTGCAAGCAGAAAAATTAACTGATACTAAAACTGCAGTTTTTATTTTTCTGAAGTGCTCCTTGAATTGATGGTAGATGGAAAAGATGGCAAATCTCTGTGCATAAATTAAGTGAACATTGAAAGACATTTCAATGTACTGCAAGAGTTGTGTAGTTCTATACCAATATTTCATGAAGGCTCAGAAAGCTGCATATAAATTTATATTCTACATGTGTCATTACATACAGAATTTCGGAATTTGAACGGGTCATTGCCAATCATGGTAACAATTGAAAGACATTTTGAAAAATACACGACTATGGACCCACAGCAGGATACAAAGCAATCTCTTGAGCCGTCTGTATTTGTGTATTTTTCTGTTACTGTTGACTGATTTTACAATGATTGTACTGTTTTCCTTTGGCTAAAAGACAGTGTCTTTCAGAGGTTATTGTGAGGCAGGGGTGAGGAGAGGTAGACCCTGGAAGGTGTGAGAGACTTTTCAAGGGATGGACCTCTCTTATACAAAGAACATTGAAAACAGATGCCACCTGTAATACTCCACAATGATCCATTAGCTTCTGCTACTATGGGCAACAACGTCTAAAACATTTAATGGGAAATAAGACCAGGATGTTTCTCTGGCACACAGTGCATTTTTCTGAACACATCCTTCTTCATGGTCTCCTCCACTCAGTGACCCATCAGACATGTGATGGCCAATAACATGATGTTGGCTCTGCAGGACTAGGGCCTCTATGCCTGTACAAATTGACCTTACCTTACTTAATATAAAAATAGCCACATATAATGACAACAAATTTGATTTAATAATTGTTGGCAAAATTTATATTTCAGCTATGGAACATTACTGATATTATTTATAACATGTTGGCCTGGTAATTGCATACTAATAATAATAATATAACAACATAAGAATAGTAATTGATTGTGAGATGCTGAAGAACGTTGTAAGACCCACAATTTCCATTTAATGTGAAAAGGCACCTTAAAAGGGGGTATAATGAATTATTGGCTTTGGAAATCTAAAACAGTTCCTCAAACTTCTGATTCAGGGCTGCAGGGCTATCAGAATTTGGAAAGATGATTGCATGAGGATGTGTCAGTTTGCTGGATGGCTGGTGTGTGTTTGGATTTTATTCTGGTTCAGCAAGTCTTGGTAACAGCTTCCCTGTCCTGCCCCTAAAACTGAGAAAAAATTGCAAGAAAACTATTCAAGTTGAAGCTTCAGTACACAATGAGTCAAGGACCTGCCTTTAAACAAAGAACACAGAGAATTGATTGAAATGGATTGCTTGAGATCACAAAACAATAAAATGTCCAATATTTGTTAAACATGCATTTATTTTTGCTCAAATCTAGAAACATTGAGCATTTACATAATATTGCTTGTCATGTAATTATGCTATGAATTTATTATTAGTAGAAGAGTAGGTGGTAAACCAACACCACAACTCAGATGATTGGCTACTTCTTTGGTAATTATGATGATTCAGACTTCCTTACAACACTTACAATTCAAGTTCACTGCAAAAAGGGCAATTTTCATAAGCAGTTCAAGTATTTTCATGCATGGCTTGAATGAATAATTTGTTACCGGCCGTGCTGATTATTACATTATAAAACAGCAGGGCCCATCTAAATGCCCAAAATGATCTGTGGTTCACACCAAAAGCAATATAGTCCAATCAATATGTTCCAGGCTAACAGGAAAAACCCTATCTGAGCCTATATATTGGGTCCACCTATCAGAAATGGGATTTTTGTTCACTCTGACCCTAGGGGCTGAATCTTATGTTTTTCTTTGGCTAAGTCAAAATTATGTTGGTATCTTTGGAAGGATTTCTGCCACGAGGCCCAGAAAGATTTCTCACTGTATCTTACCAAATCCAGTCCCTAGCTTGTCTGATTTTGGCCCCCTTTTACCATGCATCACACATTAGAACAACTCACACTCAGCAGATTTCCCTGAATTCACCAGCATCCTTTGCACCATCTTTAAAAGCCAAATATGCAGCCAGATAATCCAGTCCAGAGGTGCCCTGCACATTTCCTGTTATTCACCCTGGACATGGCAAACAGGGGTAAATCTAGACTCTGCCATGGGGACAGGATCCTGGAACTCTGACTGGTTGGGATGGTGCCAAAGCAGGATTTCCTCGTCCTCAGAACCAGGAGTGGTGACCATGATAAAGATCATGCCAACCGGGTCTGAGGTTACCACCATGTCAATGCAGTCTCAGTCATCTAGAGGAATGTAGGAAGAAGGCCAATGACAAACTCCCACTCCACCACCATAAGAAACACCATCTTCTATCCAATGCCTCATACTCGCTCCATCTCTGCTACTGTACCCACCTCTCTCACTGTTGCCTGCATCACCTTTCCCAATCACTTACTGTCAGCCAGCCCAAACTCCAACATCACTAACCCTGCATGCCCTCTGTGCTGCCTACTGACTCACTCAGGCAACTGCCTCACCTCCACCAAATGTAACAGCTGGGCCACCCACTTTCATTTCCTGGAATACCTGTCTTTCTCTCATTCCAGGAGGAAAACAGCACCAAATAGGATATGAGGACTCAAGATGGAGACGGGTAGTGAGCTGCCTGACATTCAGCTTCTTGGATGCCAATGTCCATGGGCATTATGCTGACTTCATATAGTGCGCAGCAGCATCATTTAGATATTATTATTATGCCAAAAAGCTTATGAAAGGCAACAGCACAGATAATCTATGGCTGAAGGTGCCCATGGACTGTATGCTGAGATTTTGGTGTCCAGTGTCCAATATAGAAGTCTTTTGGACTAAGTAACAAACTGAATTTACCAGGTATGTGCTCTAGTTTCCATACCAAGTTATCTCAATTATTTTGTTTAGCACATTCTTAATGTAGAAAGCTAAATATTAATGAGGTGAGTTGTACAGTCAACAAGGCAAGTAATAATCCTCTCAATTAGCAACTCACCACTGCCTAGTGAGACACTCACTACCCCATTTGTGAAAAGCATAAAAATGGAATGAGATTTTCCTGATGTTGATATGTGTTTTGCTGGATATCTTGTCTAATTCTGCCACAAACGTCACTAGAGCCCACATTACTCAGACTGCAATAAAATTCCACTCATGGAATATCTGGGCTGTTGTTTTCTATAAGCATTTTGACACAATGTTTATATCTAAGCAATATTGCTGTACATCACATGAAGTTAGTACCAAATACAGAAACTGGATCAGATTGGAGGCTAAACTCTGAATGGAAAACTGTTAGTAATTGTAGTGCCAGAAAAAATATGATTGCTACATATATCAAATGTGAAATATTATTTAAAATAAACTCAGCAGATCTGACAGCATCTATGGAGACAGAAACAGAGTTAACATTTCAAGTCCAGTATGGCGTTTCTTCAGAACTTCAGAACCTGTGCCAGACTCAAAATGTTAACTCCGTTTCTCTTTCTACAGATGCTGTCAGAACCGCTGAGTTTCTCCAGCACTTTCTGTTTTTATTTTAAATTTCCAGCATTTGCTTTTACGTGAGATATGAACTGTTTCTTCAAAGTAATCTTGATGATCTATTTCAGAAGTACTGACTTCTCTTACTTCCTTGGAACTTTACAATTACATATATTACTATCTCAATGGAGTCTGGTGTAGACTTCAAATAACTTCCAATAATTAATTTCTGAACACAGGCAGCAAGACCAATAAGGGAACCCATTTGTCTGAAATGTGGCAAACTGGGAAGTCTTGCATCTGGGCAAAAACAAAAATATCACTTTAAATTATAACCAGTGAGAACCAATTTACCCTGTGGTAAAAAGTCATTAAAAATAGGCATATGCTTTCCTTTTGGATGTATGATTAAACTGCTCATCTTCAACTTTGTGGTCATGAATAAATTAGTATTTTCAGTTAATGGCTGGTTTGTCTGGTAGTCCGCTGAAAGAGGATGATGCTTGCTGCTCTGAGTACACGGTCATTTAACCTGAGGAGGTTGCTGCATTACAGCTAACACATGGTTCTGGTTGAACAGGAAACATCTATTTTACTACTTGCTTGGCCAATGGGGTGGTATAGTGGCTCAGTGGCTAGCGCTTCTGCCTCATAGCACTAGAGACTTGGATCCAATTCCATCCTCGGGTGACTGTCTGTTTGGAGTTTGCACATGTTCCCCACATCTGTGTGGGTTTCCTCTGGGTGCTTTGGTTTCCTCTCACACTCCAAAGATGTGCAGGTTTGGTGGGTTGGCCATACTAAGTTGTCCATAGTTTTTAGGGATGTGCAGGCTAGGTTGGTTAGCCATGGGAATTGCAGAGTTGCAGGGATAGGATGGGATGCTCTTCAGTCCATCAGTATGGACTAGATGGGCTGAATGGCCTGCTTCCACAATGTAGGTATTCTATGTTATGAAACACCTTCCATGGCCAATAAATCCTGAGGTTCTGTGTGAACTCTGGAACTCTACCTCAAGTCCTCATTGAAATGTTTAAAGGTATTTTAAAACTGGTGAGAAAATAGTTTTAGTCAATGATTTTGATTGCTGAAAGAGTTAATTTTTTAAAAGTATTAATTACCATGCTTCCCAAGATGTCAGATACTTGTAAATAGCCTGTGACCACTTTTGTTTCATATACAACTCATGACATTTAATTATAAAGATTACTTGAATAGTTCCTGCAAAATCCTTTAATGTCATTATACCCTTACCCTTTTAATGAGCTTGTTCCCTGTCTGAATGGTTTTAATGTAACCACTAATACAGAAAACCTGTTAGGATATTAAAGAAACTTTAAACAAATACTGAACTTTCATACTGTGTTGACTCTGGTATTAATGTCCAATAAACTGCAGACAATCGTTGCTACATGTCCTCCCTGCATGCTCCTTCAATTAATCAATTTATGCATTTGTGTCATTCTTCCAGAAGGGTAACTAGGTGATGCAACATTTCATTTCTCACACTATCAATTTCTGGTTACCATCTTTGGTTTTGAACTACCTGTCTGCTCCCAGCTTTTCTTTTCTGAAACAGTGGTTCAGTGAGTGCAGGAGTGAGTCTATAAATTATTAGCATGTATTCATTGGTATAGCAAATGTAATCATTACACCTCAAATGTAAAATTTCAAACACTAAGTTTTATTGGAATAGTCTACTAGAGTAGAGATACCCTTGCACAGACAATACGGTTCTAACATATTTGAACCAAAACGGTTTTCAATACTCAACAATAACATACATTTCAAGTTGTTTTGAAAATAAATTATTTCAACTGAAAAAAAATCCAAATATGCCAGGAAACTCAATAGTGCCATCTTCTGTTGCTGATTGTGATAGTCAGCTGTTTCACATAATGTGAAATTCGTTCATAAGGTTTTAGTGGATAAAATACATCTGATCCATGAACTTCTTATCCTGACAAAGACGTTTTGTTCAGTAAATCCTTTTGAAAATCAGGATATTTCAATTACCGAACATACAACTAAGCTATAACATGGGCTAAAAGTCTTTCAAACTCTTCATTTTCTTCCTGATGACTGTCTTCTGCAAATATTAACAACATGCATTTTATTCAGCACAAAATTTCCACATTTTTATTAAACTTATTTCTTAGATCAATGCAAATTTCTTCAAATCATTTTATTTTTACAGGGCAATCAGTTTAAACTTGAGCAGAGAATCACTGAACCAGACAGCATTGAGGGAGGCTCTCCAGCCTGTCAGCTTTGTTCACTCTTTGAAAGAATGATCCAGGGAGCTCTTCCCTGTTCTTTGCCTGCAATTTTTTAAATGTTTCCACGTCAATCACATGAGTAGGTAAAAATAAAGCAGTCTGGAAACCAATTAGTTTCTGCATTCTCATGGTTTTCTATCTATTTCCAAAATGGCATTGAGATTTGTGTGTACCCAAAATGACCTAGATTCAATAGGCACCTGCATGTTTCTTCAGCATAACCCAAGAGCACTTCAGAACCAATAGATTACTTTGAAGGGCAGCTGTTGCTATTGTGAAGGAACATTCAACAGCCCAGACAACAAATAAGTATTCATATTATGTTGTTGGCCAAGGGAGAATTTATGCCAGGCCATCAACTCATGGTTCTCTTCAAATAGTGGCACATGGGCAGAGAATCATAGAATCCCTACAGTGCAGAAAGAGGCCATTCGGCTCATCAAGTCTGCAGCAAGACCCTCTACCCTATCTCCGTAATCCCACATTTACCATGGCTAACCCATCTAATGTGCAGATCCCTAGACACTATGGACAATTTACCACAGCCAATCCATCTAAATTGCACATCTTTGGATTGTGGAAGGAAACCAATGCAAACATGGGGAGAATGTGCAAACTCCACATAGACAGTCACCTGAGGCTGGAATCAAATCCAGACCCATGGCGCTGTGAGGCAGCAGTGCTAACCAGTAAGCCACAGTGCTGGCCCTGAGAAGCAGAACTCAGTTCGATATTCCATGTAAAAGATGTTCCTCTGACATCGAAACACTTTGTTGGTACAATACTGAACTAACAAGTTAAATCATGCACTAAGTTTGTTCTGGGGCTTTAATCTACAATCTCAGGGGGCAAGGAAGGGGATAGAGTCAGTTGCTAGGGAATGGAGTTTGGAATGGGGACTAAAAATAATGTCTTCAGTCTTCATAATATTTAATTGGAAGTACAAGTAAATTCAAACATTCATGAAAGAGTATTCAGCCTATTTGATAGTTCAATTATTTTGTGCATATTTGACTACTGCTCTCTGCCCTCATTTTTGGAATTTATTCTGACAAATATGCTGGCTGGGAACAGCTCCAAACTCTTGTAACTTTTAATGTTTGGTTGTTTGCCACATTAATCTGCAGATTGTCTTCATTATCTCTAAACCCTCGCATTATTACATAATTCCACATGATATCTCATTTAGCAACATGATGTATTAGTAAAGAAATAATTTATATAGCGGAGCATCTGAACATAATCCAGGATTAAGACATAATTTTATTGTTATGAGAACAGCATTGTTTACTTCAACCATATCATTTATCATATCTGCACAGAAAGAAGGAGCACGGTATTTGCACCTATAAATGATAACCAGACAGCGGTGCTAACAGTGGACATGCTGTTAGTCTCCAAGTCACAGAAAAGTATTGGGAATGTCACTACATGGTAGTTCTCTAAACTCTGCATTTAATTTCAAGATAGAATGGAATTAGAATCCAAAGGACAACTAATTAGCTATTATTCACATTGCAGCGGAGATAGACACTGAGAGGGAAAGAGTCCACAACAATTCAAATGTTTTTCTTAAGCCATCCTGTATTTTACATACAGATTAGTTTGCAAGGATTGGAACAAGCTGTCTTCTACCTGAGTCTCTCCTATGGGGACAGCTGTCTTCTTTGCCTGGCCTCCCTTACCTCACAGCTTGTCTCCAGGGTATCTGCCTCACCTTTTCTCTCTCTCTGGTCTATGATAGTTTCCAGACCCACTTCTGAGTTTATAGTTACATGTGCTAACTCATAATCAACAGCCAGAATTGCACATTTCTGGGACCTGTCAACCTCTATTTTTCATCATGAGTTCAAATTGGGCAGGTATGGAGATTTTTTTTAACTCTTTGAGGAGAATTACTTCACTAAAGTTTTTATAGGTAGCTTAAATTTTAAGTGCCAATGCTTATTCGTCAAAAATAGGTTGGTTAAGTCATTCATTGTCTTTGCAAGGATCACTCAATACGAAACGTTAACTCTGATTTCTCTCCACAGATACAGCTAAACCTGCTGAGCTATTCCAGCAATTTCTGTTTTTGTTTCTGATTTACACTATCCACAGTCCTTTTGGTTTTTATATTATCGGTAAGACTACCAGTCCATTTCTTGAGTGTACGGAATTTTTTTCCATATGCCTCCGTGACTAACAGGGACACAATTAAAATAGCCCATTTACTGCATCAAAGTCAGTGGAATTCTCCTCAGGTGAGAGGGAATAAAGTTCATGAGCTTTCTCTGTCAGCCTGCTCTGTAACAGCATTGTCCACAAATGGACTGGCTGCTTTCGCTGCTGTGCTGATCTTTCAGAAGAGATAAAGAAGGTGTCCATCTCTTCTTATCAAATTTATGGCCTAAATGGGAAAACTTTAAGACATCAACCTTTAAGTCTTGGTTGGGTGTGATTCTATAAACGGGCTGCTTCCGGTCTACCTTCTCAGCTTGAGCAGCCTGAATTCCAACTTATTTTTTCATTCCTTTTCATGAAATGTTCTTTCTTGCTCCCTTTCCTGTCTTACTCTGTCTGTATGCATTGCCTACCACTTTTACTTCTTCCTAGAATTCTCTTTTCATTTATTTTGCAGAAATTCCAGCTCTTACCTCAGATGTTCTAATTTTACTTTATCTGTTTGATTATCATCAGGTTATAGTTGTAGATACTTCAGCATCCATATTGCAATTTATGTTTTCCTGGCATTTAGGCAAAACTCCACCTCTCAGCATTTAGTTATCTCTTTTATTTCCTCCAGGAATGAGGCTTTTAGTTTTTAGTAAGTTAATTCATTCCGCTACACGAAAACATCAATATTACACGTGGCTATGTCAGCATCTTCCAAGCTCAAAATGAAAGAAAACTTTTTTTCAGCTTCTTATAAACATTTTTTGAAGAAATAAGTTGTTTCACCACTCCAATTCTTTTGTAATCAGTAAATTCTAAGTTGATCATTGTCACCATTTAGAATTAGAAGTAGAATTAGATTTTATTGTCACGTGTACTCAAGTACAGAAGTACAGGAGCACAGTGAAAAGTGTACAATGTTGCCACTCCCAGAGCTATCTTAGGTATAGAGGTACTTAGGTACAAAATTGAAAAATGAAGAAATAAGTTAAATTTTTAATATTACAGTTCTTAGAGTCACAGAGATGTACAGCACAGAAACAGGTCCTTCAATCCAACTTGTCTATGCTGACCAGATATCCTAGATAAATCTAGTCTCATTTGCCAGCATTTGGCCCATATCCCTCTAAACCCTTCCTGTTCATATATCCATCCAGATGCCTTTAAATGTTGTAATTGGAAACACCTCCACCACTTCCTATGGCAGCTCATTCCATACATGCACCACCCTCTGTGTGAAAAAATTGCCCCTTGGGTCCCTTTTAAAACTTTTCCTCTCACCTTAAACCTATGCCCTGTCGTGGTTGACTCCCCCAACCCAGGGAAAAGACCTTGTCTATTCACCCTATCGATGACCCTCCTGATTTTATAAACCTCTACAAGGTCACCCCTCAGTCTTCGATGCTCTGAGGAAAATAGCCCCTGCCTCTGCCTCTGCAGCCTCTCTCTGTAGCTTAAACCCTCTGACCCAGCCAACATCCTTGTAAATTTTTTCTGAACCCTTTCAAGTTTCACAACATCCTTCCTATAGCAGGGTAACCAGAATCTTCTTAGCACAAAGTAGAAGAATAAAGAAATACAGTTAAAAGTTTAACATCACAGTCCTTCTTTAGCCATGGGCCTGCATTTGCTCCAAGCTAGGCTTTCCCCACAAGGGCTCCCTCTCCCCTCCATTGGGCATAGACTCCCCAAGAGGGTATGCTCTCTCCCACGCTGGGCTGAGTCCCTCGACTTCGACCTGCATTTGGACTCCTCTTTGCCGCCAACTCTCAATGTCCTGTCTGCCCCAGGCACTGCCATGTTCCAGACTCTGATGCTGTTACTGCCACTGCCTCCACAATTGAGCTCTCACCAGGAGTAAGTAAAAATAAACAAACCAAAAAATTAAAAAAAACAAAAAAAAAATAAAAAGAAAGAAAAGCAGATGGAATGGATGCCATAGTGTCATCTTTCTTAAACATTTTTAGTTCATGCAAATCTCAGGTATTAAGAGTTTAATGATGAAAGGTGATATTGATGGTTCATTTTCACGACGATCATAACACCATACAGAATGTAGATGGAGGCTGGTGCTCAGATAGAACAGATAGCGTTCATGAGGACTTAAACAAGAACTGCCTAGAATTGACTGGAAAGAGGGTTTTCCTGGATAACCTTTACCACAAAGGTCAGTTAAGAGATTCAAATTATCCACCCCCTAGAATATCTTTATAATATGGAGAATGAAGTAACCCCTTAACAAAAGGAACAGAGTGAAGTACAACTGTGGAAAGGACCTTCTGTTGATGCAAAAGTTAAGTTTGTAATTTTCTCCCTATTTTAGAGATTAAGTTCCCTGCTGTGTCATGTTTCAACAACATTGCTTTTAGTTTAGTTTAAAATAAAGACAGAAAATATTGTGAAAAAAAGCACTCAGAAGTTTAGGCCACAATTGTAGATAGAATGAAACAGATTTAATTTTCAAGTCTGTGACATTTTCAAGTCTGTGACATTTTGTGGAAAAATAAAATGATTAAAACATTTTCAGCAAGGAGCGTAGCATTGAATATGGCTATTGTGGTATTGAATAATCCAACAAATATTTGATACAACTAACACTATTTTCAAACTTAAAATTCTTGGGCACATAAGTGCATAGGCACTTAAGATATTTAGATATTTAAAATATTTGTTAACAGAACAACATGCTTTCAGTAGCATGTCATGCTTCAAGTTAACTGAGGTAAGATGGAGTATGTGGTCTTTATATTCTTAGGTCACATGCTATGATACAGTGATGATGTCATGAGCATGTACTTTGAATGGATTGCTTCTCCTGGCAGGGCCACCATGACAGTAAGGTTGAAGGGGAGGAACCAGACATAATGCAGTCGAAAACTTATCAACATTTCTGGGGCATTGGTGAATTCTTTTAAAACAAGTTTTGAGGCCTGGCTGGAGGGTAAATGAGTTTTTCTATACATGGGTACTTTTTACAACCAAACAAGATAAACAAGCTTCAGTTTAGAAGGTCAGAAGAGGGGTTCTTTTTAAGCTGAATGGAAACACCAATAGCTTAGAGACTGGGTTTTTTTTTCATTTTACTTTGAGTTTGGAGCAATCATGTGAAGTCTTTGAGATTGGTTATCTGTATAGAAAAGTGTACTCGTAGACATAAGATCATATAATGAACTTAGTTCCCTTAGAGTTAAGAGTTAGTGTTAGTCCCATGTTTTAGGAACTGGGTTTACATCTTGAAGAGATCACCTAAAGCTCAATACATTTAAGCAGGTGTATGATGGCTCCATGAAGAAATTATTTTTAGTTCCAGTGTAAAGGTTGAAATACCGAGTGACTAAAACCTTACAAGATATTAGATACATAGATGGTGATCTGAGTATTATATGAGTGTGGTTTTGGGTATTGTACCAGGGTTGTGTTTTGGGTATGATACAAAAGCTGTTCTATTTCTTTTTGAATTATAAAGGAATATTTTGAGATTAATGATATACTTCTACAGTGTGTTAAAAAATCTTTGAATCTATATTATAAGTAAGTAATATGGAACTTTTTTTTTAAATCTTCATTTCTTTTGGAATAAACCTGTTTTATTGTTAAAGCAAAATCTGCAGCATTGTGTGCCCATGTTTGAGTGACAGAAACAGTAAAATATGATCTATCAAGCCAGGTATGTGCCTGGGATTTGACTTGTCCAGCAATAATCAGCTGGGATCATAACATTTCAAATCAGATTTCCTGCATATGTGTACCAATGCCCTTTGATGACACATACATGAAGAGATATCAAGAAAAGCTGGGCAGCTTTTGGGAAGATATGACACACCACATCTATTATAGATTTTGTTGTTTGGTCCACTTTCCTAACTGTAGCAATAGTGATGTCTGTCCCTAAAACATGCCATTATTGTTGACCTATCACTATGGCTTCATACTTCCATCGTTCCTCAAATAATGCATCAATGGTGTGGTCCTTGTTAACAAAAGGAACCTTCCTGAAGGCCTTAATTTGTGTGGAGATGATTACAACTTCATGAGCCTTTCTGGAAAAGTCGAACTAATGCCCTTTCCTGCAACAACTTTCAAAAAACAGGTCAACAGACTCTTGGGTAACTGTCTATACAATATGAGTTGGGGTCTGTTTATACTGAAGTTAATTCTTACCATGAAGCGGTCTTCAAAGACTTTCCAAACGTTTTCTGGATTTTTCCAGTCATCCATGGAAAGCTTGGATGTACTAATTCTGTGAAGCCCCTCCTTGCTGATGGCAAGCAAGAGCTCTTTTCTTGGGATCATGTATTGCTTGCTCTGTAAAATTAAACTGCAAAGATTATTTAAATAGTTGTATTTCAGCAAAGGTGTCACTCAATGCCTGTTCTATAGTGAAGTTTCTGCTATACATGAGTTAGCTTTAAAAATGTTACATTGTACCTTAAAGCCGTATGTCCATAACTTCCTGTCAATGTAAGTTAAAAATGCTCCTTTCAAACTTTGCAACTGTTCTGCATGATTCTTACTTTTATAACAATGTGAGGAACAGAAGGTCTTAGGCTTCCAGCTCTGTCTATCACAACTCAAGTGTGATCTGAGCTTTATTTTTCTTTTTAAGTGACACTATCTTTTAAATTTATTTTAACTTGAAAGAGCTTATAATCCAATCAAAATAAATGAGCTTTGTCTTGTTTGGTGATTAACGCCCTATTTATGGGTCTGTACAGCTGTTTGTACTCTCCAAAAGTGATGCTGCTTAGGAATTCTCTATTGTCCATCGGTCTTCAATTATTCTTCCATATATCTAGTGATGAAATCTTGGAGTTCTTCTAATAAACAGCAAGGTTGTTAACCATGATGTGATTCTTGCCTTCACCAGGGTTTTAACAACTCTCAAAACATAAGGCATTGGACATACAATATCGTCTGGTATTGACAAATCCTATAGACATTTATTTCTGTTAATATTTATGTACAAACATTATATTCACAGATACAAAATTTGTCTGGGCGAACATTAACATATTAGGTTAATATATTACAACAAAACAAGTAATTTAAGTTACAGATAACACAGTGTGGTGCTGGAGGAACACAGCAGGCCAGGCAGCATCAGAGTTGTAGGAAAGTTGACGTTTCAGGTTGGGACCCTTCTTCAGAAAAATTTCTTTTCTTCTCTTCATTTTCTGAAGAAGGGTCCTGACCTGAAACATCAACTTTCCTGCTTCTCTGATGCTGCCTGGCCTGCTGTGTTCCTCCAGCTCCACACTGTGTTATCTCTGACTCCAGCATCTGCAGTTCTTGCTATCTCTAAGTGATTTAAGTTAAGTTGAAATATGTGACTTTTATATCTTCAAGTCATTTCTTCTACAATTTGAGAGATTCTGGAAAAATTTCTGCAGATTTGAAGGAAGCAGATGTTATTCTACTATTTAAGAAAGCAGGGAGAGGAAAAATAGGGAACTACAGATTTTGCTTGACTTGACTTACAGCAGCAGTAGGGACAATGCTAGATTCAAAACGATGTGATAAATAGACACATGGATGATGATTTGGAATGAACAGGCTAGGCACAGTCGGCATGGATTTTGCAAATGGGAAATTATGTTTGATAAACTTGCTGAAGGTCTCATTATCTCATGAAAGATGTTATTGCTGTGGAGGGAGAGCAATGTATTCTCTAGAGTTTCAAAGATTGAGATGTGATCTCATCAAAGGTGATAAAATATTGAAAGGGATAGACAAAGTAGATGCAGGTAAAACATTTCTCCTGGTGAGGGAGTCAAGAACCAGGAGCACCACTCAAAATTAAGGGAATGCCACTTAGATCTGAGATGAGAATTGTTTTTACTCAGCATTATAAACCATTTGAATTCTCTACCAGAGGGAGCTCTGAAACCTCACTCTTTGAATATGTTTAAGGTAGAAATTAATAAATTTCTGATTACCTGCAGTGTAAAGAATTTGGGAATAGTGTGAGTAAAAGTCATTAAGAATTAGATCAGCTATGATTGTATTGAATGGTGGGCAGGCTTGACATTCTGAATGACCTACTTTTGCTCCTAAATCCTACGGTAAGTCATTATGTCATGGGCTAATATACTGATACATTAACCATGTGACTAAAATAAAAGGAGTGGGGGAGACAAAGACAAAATGTAGGTTTATGATAGTACTAAAGACAGGAAAGGCTGTATGATAGAAAAGTTGGTACTCCAGAGATGAAGGGCCATAGAGATGTGGTGAGAGAAACAATGGAACAGAAAATTTACCGAGAGCAGGTGTAGGTTTGATGATTGAAAATTGAAAACAAGCAAGGGAAACAAAATGTGAACATGAATTTATAGTCTGAAATTGTTGCTAAATATTGAGTCCAGAAGGTTACAAAGTACCTGATTGAAAGATGAGATGCTGTTCCTGAAGCTTACATTGAGCTTCACCGGAATGGTGCAGTTGACCAAAGACTGCAATATCAGTGTGAGAGGTGGGGAATTCAAGTGATAGGCCACTAAAAACTCACAATCATGCCACAGAAGAGAAGCGCTCTGCAAAGTGATCACACAGTGATCTCATCGTTTGTTCTCCATACCATAGACAACATATTGTGTGCAGGAAATACAACACCTCATCCATTTCCACAGGACCTTTCCATACCGATGCAGGATATGTAATATCTGCCCTTTTAACTCCTCCCTTCTCATCATCCATAGCTCCAAACACTCCATCCAGTTGAAGCTACTTACTTGGTGATAAGCATTAGGACTATCTTATGTATAGCAGGAAACATGATGTAGTTTTTGTTTTAGGGTCTATTTGCTGATGGAATCTACTATCCCATTTGTTAACAGAAAAGCTGACAGCAAAAATGCACAAGTGTCAAGTCTTTGTAATAAACAATGGATGAATTTCTACTCAATAATGTAGTCTTGTCAGAAAGAAAGGCAGGTGGCACATTCTGGCTGCTACTTGATTGATTACAGCTTGGCTGCTGCTGTTAGCCATACAACTGCATTCATCTGCTCAAGTCATACATTCCTGCATTCATTTACATGATTCCTTATTAAACATTTATTGAATTCCCTTTATACGTGAGAGTTTCTGCCTCAACTCATGGAGAAAACTGCGCGGTAATAACTTAAGGGGAGACTTCTTAGAATTTATAGGTTTTGAAATCGCAAATGCAAGATTTACTATTTAGAAGTTCACTCCTTATGAGGTTAGTAAAGTGATAGAAGAGGTTGTTGACAATGCTATCATGTTGTACCTGCTCAGTGATAACCTGTGCCCTTTAAACGTACCCATTAGGCTATTCAGCTCCTGACCTTATTACAGCTTTGGTAGAAATATGGGAAAATGACCTGAATACCAGAGATGAGAGTGACTAACCTCTAGGGGGAACGATGGCCTAGTGGTACTATTGTGAGACTATTCATCCCACCCATAGCAGATGGTGGAATCTGAATTCTAAGAATCTGGAATTAAGAGTCCAGTGATGATCATGAAACCATCGTTGATTGTCAGAAAATCCCCACCTAGTTCACTAATGTCCTTTAGGGAAAGAAATCTGCCACCCATACCTGATATGACCTATATGTGACTCCAGACCCATAGCAATGTGGTTGACTCTTAAATGCACTCTGGACAATTAGGGACAATAAATGCTGACTTAGCCAGCAACACACTCGTCTGATGAACAAATTTTTTAAAAAATCTTGATATCAAGGCTGTGCTTAAAATATGGCATCAAGGAACCCTAGCAAAACAAAAATCTCGATTCCAATAAAGTTAGCAATACAGTTTGCATTGGTTAAATAAGATCATCAAAAAAGCAGTAGGCCTTTCAGTCCATCAAATCACTCCACCATTCAGTAGGATCATGGATTGTGGCCTATCACCCACAATTCTCAACTGCACCTTCCACAGACCACCGACCTTCTTGTCAATTAGATATCTATCCACTTTGACCTAAACGTTGCTGCTCACTGGGGACAAGAATTCCACAAATGAGAAAAGCTTGGGAGAAGAAAAGATTTTTGTCTATCTTAAATGGGAGGTCCTTTAAGTCCTTTATTTTTAAACCACTACCCCAGATCTAGATTCTCCGCGAAATATTCTCTCTGCAAGACCTCTGTCCAGTGTCCTTTGAATGTAAGTACACCTCATTCTTCTAAATTCCAATCAGTTCATTGCCCAACATTTCCTCATAAGAGGTTGCCTTCATCTGAAGAATCAGCCAAGTGAACCTTTTCTGAACTGCTTTCAATGCAAGTATATCCCAAAGAGACCAAACTCTATTTAGTACTGCAGGTACAGTCGCACCAATGCCTTATTCACTTACAGCATGCCAGCCTCCTTGCAATAAAAGCCAATATTCAATTTGCATTAATTACTGTACCTGCATGCTAAATTTGGCACTCATGAATGACACCCAGATCCTTCTGTACTACAGCATTCTACACACATTGTATTTAAATATTCTGCTTTCTGTCAAAGTAAACAACTTCATATTTCCCCACATTATACTCCATCCACCAATTTTTCTACCATTCACAACCTATCTTGTATGTCTTCGCAGGTACTGAATCCTCTTTAACTTCCCTATCTTGTCTCATCAGCAAATTTGATTACAATTGGGTCCCTTTATCCAAATCATTAATTTGCATTGCAAATAATTGAGGCCTCAGCAAATCATCTCTAGCACTCCATTAATTAACTGGGTGCCAACTTGAAAATAATCCATTTATTCTGACTGTTTTTAAGTCAATCTGTGCTAATATATCACTCGCAATAATACAAGCTCTCATTTTCTGTAGTAATCTTTCCTGTAGCACTTCATGAGGGGGTGGCTATACTAAGTGACCCACGCCTGCTG